CCAGCTACTCCCCCCACCCCACAGGAGCCAGCCCCCTTACAGAGCCCTCCCACCAGCCCGAGAACCAGCCCGCTCAACTACTCTCCCCCTACCAGGAAGAAAGCTGACACCCCTACAGATCCCACCCTCTGGAGTCTGGCCCAGGCGTATTTCAACCCGGAAGGGGCGGAGTAAACTAAGTTCTCGCGAGATTTCTCGCCGAGCCGCGGGGGGATCTGCGCTGCATTGTGGGAGTTTCTTCCTTTCTTGTTGCCCGGCCATCTTGGAGGCGCGTCTCGGGTGAGCGGGGCTCCGCGGGGCCGGGCAGGGGCGCTGCGGGCCGGCCGGCACGAGGCACTAACCTTTCCTCCTTGTGTTTCAGCTACCGCCGGACCCGACCCGACACGAGGCAGCAACATGGTGGCCGCGAAGAAAACGGTGAGTGAGCGGGGCGGGCCCGGCGCTCACGTGGCGGCGGCGGCGGGAGGCTGCGGAGCGGCCCCGGGGCAGCTGCCTTGGGGGTGGCCGGGTCTCCTGAGGCTGCTTTTGAGAGCTGGGTGGCGGGGGAGCGGCCAGAGGTTTCCGGGCTGTCCCGGCGGTGGGGGCTGAAGGGGGAACCCGATGAATGAGGGGAGTGAAGCAGGGCGCCCCCAAGGCGCTTTGGGAGGCCGGCCACTGGGCTCCTTCAGCTCGTAGGGGGTGCTTGCTCCTGGCGCAGGGCGGTATCGGCCCCCTTGCTGTGGGGGCTGCCCCTCACCTCCCTCTCGCCTGTTTCTTCTGGGTCTCGCTGTTACTGTCAGCCAGATATTCCCTCGCGTGTCGATATCCTGCCCTCGAGGCGTTGCGAGCTACCTTTGTGTGGTCAGGTTATTGCCTAATTATTCCAGAACAAAGTTTGGGTGAGGGTCAGTGCATTTAAGCGTCTGCGCTTATATGTTGCTCTACCCTATGATTAGCATTGCTTTTATTTTTGTACACTCGAAAGTATGGGTGTCGTGCTGTAAGATGTCCTCTGTAATTACAAAATTCATTACCTAGCTGCAATATGCCACGAGCGTTACAGAAAAATCACTTCAGCATCGTTTGTTATATTGCATGAAATGTATACACAGGACAGGGTCTAATGGTCAGACTGCAATTTAGAATGGGGTAACTTGATGCTTCTTTCTAAACCTGGCTTAGCCTTGGTAAATTGAAAAGGGACCTTTGAGTGTAGGATCCCACAAATATTCTGACACTAAAAAGGGTAGGGTCAGGCTGGAAGTTCAGAATAATACAACATAATTTGTATAGTGGCTTTTAAAAAAAATTGTCAGTTAATTTCTCCTTGCATTTAAGAGAGATAAATAAGGGGACTAGCTTGAAGTCTGAGAAATGTTGTCATATTGTGTTAACACAATTTTTATTTGTTTGACAAGCTTTTTCTTAACTTCTTGGATATTTAGATATGAGCTACTTAATCTTTTGCACTGTAAAGAGGAGAAAGCTTAGTGAACCAAAAGACTTGTGTTTAGTTAAAGCTCTTTAAAATTGTTCATTCTCTGTGTTAATCTGCATTACTCCATATATTTTAACTCTGTTACAGAAAAAGTCGCTAGAGTCTATAAACTCAAGGCTTCAACTGGTTATGAAAAGTGGTAAATATGTGCTAGGGTACAAACAGACTCTGAAAATGATTCGGCAGGGCAAAGCCAAGTTGGTCATCTTAGCCAACAACTGTCCTGCTTTGAGGTAGGTACCGTTATATATCCGCATCTGCTTTATGCTGTTCACAGTGTGACTGTTTTTAGTACAGTGCACTAAACAGTCCTAGTTCTACAATGTTATAATATTTGCTGCAAAACAGGGCTGGATATCTGGTGCAAGTTGCATGTGTAAACAATGCAGGACTAAGCTTGTAAAGTGCTTTTAAATTACACTGCCCAGCTTCTGTACAGCAAAGGAAGCTTATATTAAAGAGAGAACTTTCTACAGGTGGTATGACTCAAATAAGGGTATAGCAAAGTGGTTGTTATGCAGCTGGGGAAGGAATCTTAAATGGCTTCTACTCTCTTCTCCTCTCTCTCTCCCCCACCCCCCTTTCCCTATTTTGAAACCTCATGCTGCGTGGGCTGGATCCGGTCTGTCATCAAATAAGGGTTTGGTGGCTTTGAAAAGAACTTTTTATGAGGAGTTTCAAGATGCAGAAAAGGGATTCAGACCCTGTAGTGGCTGGAGCTATTGGGGGTGGGGAGACAGGTTGATGTGGATCTGCACCTAATTTGGATTGCTGGAGGGCACCAGTGGTGGTTCACAAGACCTGCAGCTCATAGAGGCCAGGTGAAAAAGAGGCAAGCTAGGAATGTGAAAAAACTGGCACAATTCACTTTAATGCCTCTGTCACCACCAGAAGCCCAGGTTCCTGCTTCCCTGTCTGCTCACATCTGGCCACCTGCCTTCCCCAGCCCTCGTCAGTAAGGCTACGTTTTAGTCACAGGCATTTTCAGTAAAAGTCATGGATAGGTCACTGGGAGTAAACAAAAATTAATGTCCTGGCACCTGTCCCCTAACTAAATCTTGGGGGTGCAATGGGTGCTCTGGGGGGAGTAGCCTAGGACCATTGCTGTGTGTGTGTGTGTGGGGGGGGGGGGGGGCGACATCCCTCCCTCAGCTCCTAGGTGGAGGCGCGGCCAGGCAGCGGTGGGCTAGGAGCTGGGGGAGGGAGGGACATATCGCTGCTTCCAGGGAGCCCCGCTGAGGTAAGTGCTGCCCAGAGCCCTCACCCTATCCTGTGCCCCAACACCCAGTCCTGAGCCTCCTTCCACACCCAAACTCCTGCTGCTGCTGGGGGAGGGTGCGCATGGTGCAAGACTGCCCCAGCAGCAGCTGGCCGCTGCAGAAGTCAGGGAATCCTTGATCTCCGTGACAAACTCGCAGTCTTACTCATCAGCTACAGGTTCCAGTGACCAACCCATCAAGTAGTCCTGCTCACTCCCACACTCTGTCGGCAATCTACATTTGCATCTCCTGTAAGCCCTTTTTCCCTGTACAAGGGAGCCTACCTGCTATTTGAGCAGCCCCTGGGGCCTCTCTTGGAAAAGATAACGGCACTAACCAGAGCTGCCAAACCCCATTCCTGACCAACAGAATCAGACTCCTACATCCCAAAGCTGTGATTGGGAAGTCCGACCTCTCCTTGGGGGAAAGATGGTGACTGCCCCCAAACACAAACCTCAAGTGGAGGAATAAAACTAACTTCACTAACTTCACTGCTCAATCTAAAACTTTGGAAGTGTAGTTAGGGTTCAAACTGGTCTAATAACATCCCATTGAAGGATTCATTTGATGGGAATGAGTGAGTGTACCATTTTTTGATATGTAGTTTTTTAATTCTCAGAAAATCAGAGATTGAGTACTATGCTATGTTGGCAAAGACTGGTGTGCATCACTACAGCGGCAACAATATTGAATTGGGTACAGCATGTGGAAAATACTACAGAGTGTGCACACTGGCTATCATTGATCCAGGTATGTATTCTAGCTTCTTTTGCTTACATATGACTCATCACCACAAAACGTTCACTGGATTTGCCATTCTGTTTAAAACCAGGATCCAGGGCCTGGCCAGGACTTCCAAGACAGAACATTTAAAAAAAAAAAAAGAGAGAGAGAGAAAACAGTAAAGCTCATTTGCTTGACACAGCATGTTTTCTTTATTGGGCTTGCTTCACCTCAGCAACCTATTTTTCCCACCAGGAATGGGGATCTTTAGAATACTTTGCAGTCTGTGCTAATCCTGTTTAGGATTGGCCAGAATTGGCTTGGAAATATGATCTCTAATCCAGTTTCTTATTTGACATCTAAGCTTGAAAGTGAACAGGATTGCTAAAAACTCTAACCTTTTTCATTTAAAAAGATTGTCATCAGCAGTGAACAAAGATAATTTCCATTGGCTGGTGATATCTCTGTGCCTAAAGGCTGACTGTTAGAACTTCTAAGATGAACTCTCTTAATTAAGCAATTACTTGTCTTTATTTTCCCCAAAGTATCTATAAACATAGTCCAACCTTGCTCTATTTTAGGCAGTGCCTCTGTTTAGTTGCTGCTTTGTCAGCCACTTTGAATGGCTGCTTAAAGATGGATTTCACTGCATTTCTATATGCATCTGTACGGAATTGTCACTGAGTGACAATTTGAATTTTCACTGTAGTTATCTGCTTATTGTGCGTATGATATGAATACAGTATATTTTGCTCTCAAACTAACTCCAGCAAAACCTAATGTATAATATGCTGTTTCAGATTTGACTTGTGAATAACTATTTTAATATAATAGTTACATGCAACATTTTCTTAATTTAGTTGTATAATTTAGCTCTTAAGTCTGTACAATACCTCTGCTTTTGAGTTGGTATTGCATATCCTGCAAATATTGTCGCTGTCCTGATAGTTCAATGATCAGGCTAGTCACTTGCTATATTAAAACTCTGCAATGTGTCCCCAGGAATTGCTTATTTCTCTAGTTTTGTGTTTGGCTAGTGACATATATGTAATTTTCATTTTGTGTTATACATTAGTATAACTTATATAGAAACAGTTTTGACATTTTGATTTTTAAAAGGAAAGCATTTATTATATTAGTAGTATACTTCTGAGTGTGGTCTCTATCCTTCAAAACTATTAGTTGGTGCCAAAACTTGAGGTTTTTTTAAATTAATGTGAAAGAATTTTCAAAAGCCAAGATGTAACAGATTTGTAAGTGGAAGATATTGATCATTGTGGAATGGCAAACTTAAAATAGCTTCCAAATAGTTGTCCTGTATTTGTAAATGGATTTTGCTGTGGCCCCTTTCGTGAGATTTGATTATGGCTTATTTTTCCATTTACAGGTGATTCTGACATCATTAGAAGCATGCCAGAGCAGACCAGTGAGAAGTAAAAGCTGGAGAGCTGTCATCCTTTCTATAATAAAACTGGTTATAGACTTGTTTTAAAAAAAACCCCGTATTTTGTATTAATTATACTGTTCCTAGTTTGGGGCACAAGTTTGCAAATAGAGACTGATTACCATGGCTGTGCCTCCTTTCCTGTTAGAAATGTATTCTACAAAAAAAGTGAAACTTTCAAAAGGCTTTGGATTTGAATAGGGCAAGTAGAATAAGGATCCCTGAAAATCCTAATAGTTTGTGCTTTTATTTTGTTTTGCATGGTTAATTTAAGAGGAGTAGGACATAAAACAGCCTAAAAACTTAATCTTAATTTCATTTAAGGTGAGTCTGAGGTAGGTAAGCAAAGTGTGGGGTTGGGAGAATTTTGTTTAAAAATATATAGAAGGAAGAGACTTATTTGAACTAAAATTTTTTTTTTTTTTTTAAGATCCAGGAAAGAGATGGGACTTTTTTTGTTTTTTTCCCCTTCGTTCCCAGGGAAGTGTTGGAATTATTTATGTAGGGTATAATTTAACCATAAAATCATTTATTAAATCAAAAGACTGAATGGTATTTATAAAACTGCTTTAAATGTGCATAAAAAGCCTAAACAACAAGCAATTTACTACATTCAAGGAGTAACAAAACATTTGATCAAAATATTTACAAATGATCTAGGCACCCTGGCTTTAGCCCTCTATTGGTCGGCTCCAACTTGGTCAGGTAGGTATTAGCAGTGAATCCTTGAGTTTACTTTTTTTATATATGCTTTAACAAACATGTGAGATTATTACCAATTATCAGACCTTATCTAATAGGCTATAGAAGAAACTCCTTCATCTGGCCTTATTTACCGCACCTGGTACCCAATTAAGAGTTATTTCTTTGCTTTAGCCCAAACCTTAAATGAGGTAACACTGGTATTTTGAAGGGTCACTACAAGTTTGACACAACTCTTCTTTCTCATGATTTCATTCTTTTTGGTTTCATGTTTTGGGTCTATTCATGCTAATGTCCCAACTCAATTGAAAACCCTACTTCACCCAAATCTAATGTGGGCCTATATTTCCAAAGGGAGGATTAAAATAGTGTTTATAAAATCTAAGCGGCAATAAGGTATAATTTTTTTAAAGTTACTAGGCTGGGTGCCCAACTTGAGACATCATAAAGGGACTTGTTTTTTATAGAATACTATGCATCCCATCTGCAGATGATGCTTTTTCTGAGGAGATTTATTCAATCACTGGTTATGCTTGAAAATGTTTGGTCTCTGCTTCTGGACAGGGACCATCTTTCTCTTTGTACTGTGCCTACACTGAAGTCCTGATCACTGGTGCTATTTTAATACAAATGAGTATTTAGAAGTGAGCCGTTAGCTCTCTGCAGGCATCTAGTAAAAAAATACACAATAAAATACAATTTCTCTCATAGGTGGTTCCAACTTTTCAGCAATGTATCCTTAATAGAGCCATACAAAATACACATACACTTTACTACAATTCTGTGTATTTCCCCTTTTGATGTATGCTGAATCAGTCATTGATTATTATTAAATCTGTTCTGAACTGTAAATCTCTTCAAGTGACATCCATTACATGTCACAATAAAACCTGAAGGAAGTTACTTAACTAAATCCTCTGATATTGGAAGAATTAACCCCATTGATCTTTGAATCTTAGGATCTTCTTGTTAAGAGGAAGTTTTTTAAAAATGATTTTATGAAATGTACAATTTGCCTGTTTAAATGTGCATTATTTAAATTGGACAGTTTTTATGAGATACCACTTAGTTTGTATGCTAGACAGCAGTTAATCAATTACCTATATGTAAACATTCTGAGATTTAAAGTTCGGGGTGGGGCATTGTGTGTTCCAGGATCCATCAGCCACCATATTTGTTCATAGACACCCAAAACACAAATATTATGCCTATAATTGAACAATGTGCATGAGCAGATACTCATGCTGATATCAAGCAAAACAAACTCTTGATGTATGCTAGGAAGCACATAACATGAAACTGCACTCAGTTCCCAGTTCTAGAAAGGGGTGTGTGTGAGCTAAATGTCAGAGCTTTAGTTAAGTAAGAGGTTTCAAATCTAACGGAAGCTATATAACTTTTTTTTATGACTAGTCTGAAGAACTAATGCATCTTTTGTGTGCGCAAAAAAAAAATTGGATGCAATCTAACAGCATGATTACAGAATGCCATCACTTACTGCTTCAGTCTAGTGTGAGACTATCATTGTAAAACAGTCATGTTTTTCTTTACCAGTTAGCAAGTTTCAAGGGGAGACTTGTATTAAGAATTTGAGTCAAAACAGTAAATACTTTTGGAAATTAAATCTATTCATTCTCAAATGAATTGTACTTAAGTAGATATAAAATTAACAAGACATTACAAGATGTTTACAAAGCAGTATAAGCTAAAGCTGTATACATTCATGCAAGAGTTACGTAATTGTCAAGTACCAAAAAAAATGGTCTTCAAGCTGCTGTAAGTGTTGTAAACACATGCAAAATTTGGAGGTACCAGGAATTGCAAACCATTACTCTTGAGTCTGCATGGAGGGCTGTCACTTAACCCCACAAATTTATTACTGTAATTTGCATCCTCACAATGGATGAACTGCTCTTTAACAAGAATGTGCAAAAAAGCTACTGCTTTTTTGGAAAGAAAAGCTAGGAAATGACAATTTTGCCAAGCTGCAATCAAAAGGGAATATGTATACTTTGAGCAGGGGATTGGACTAGATCTCCTGAGGTCTCTTGCAACACTAATATTCTATATTGCTTGTCTGTACTTTAAATTGTTACATTCAGAGCAAGAAAAAAGCAATATAATCCACTCTCCAAGGAGAGAGGATGGCAGCAACAACCTAAAGGATTTTGGGAGGGAGAGAAAACACCCTTCAGGTGTCTTGGGAATAGAGATGGTTTTCATCTGTAAAAGTGTCCATGTTCCCCTGAGAGAACATCTGCTGTCAGAGTTGTGGCCTAAGACATGTAAGTAGATTTACTCATGACCCAAAAGGCTCCCACAGGTGGTAGATTTTTTTCAGAGACTGGAAGAGAGGGTGAAATTGCAGTTCAGGAAAGCTTTTGCCCAGCACTGCTAAGTTGAAATCTGGGGTTTTGTGGTAAGAAATAAATTCAGTGTCACTTTGAAACTAATTTTTTTTTTTTTTTTTGCCACCACATTGAATAATTAGTAATTTGCTCAGCTCTACTGTTGAGTTATCCAACAAGAGTAGGATTGTCCGGCCTGAGAGAATCTGCTTCAGAGAAAACAGTACCTTCTATATGGCTCTCAAATTGGAATATTTGAATGTAAATTCACCTGAGGACCATTCTCCGAGCCATTTAGTGCCCCATATTCTGCCCTTTATCTGGAGGAAACTTGCTTGTCTCTGACTGTAGGCTAGATAGAACACACAAGAAAAGACCCTTGACCTGTAGAGTTTACAATGTGATAGAGTAGAATATAGACTGGGACCAAATAATTGTGAATTCTGCCCAGTGACTAGAGTGCTAGGTGAGAGGAGATTTTGTGTGTGTGTGTGCTGGATGGAGAAGGCAGATGGCAAACTGTTACTTGAATGCTGCTCAAACAGCTGGAATACTGCAAGAAAACACTGTAGTTGGAGTTAGTGTATACATTTGTGATGCAAGTAAAAACCTATTAAGCTAGTCTACACATTCCCTCATAGCTAGTTTTCTATAGACAATGTTTTATGCTAGGCAAAGGAGAATATATATGAAACAATTGTTTCATAGTTGCATTTATGCAGCACACTTAATATTTTTAGTATGATGGAGGGGGTGAGGGGTGGAGCACAACTAATGAAGCAAAAATGATTTACAGAGTATATTAGAGTAGAGTCATAGATTCCCAGGCCAGAAGAGGGCCATGGTGATCACTAGTCTGACCTGTGTAACAGGCCAGAGAACTTCCCCAAAATAACACACCAGTAAGTCTAAAAATACCCAAACACAGCATGGAGGTTTCAAATTAAAAATAAAAGCATTTTATTAGATTGCATAGCTTATAAATTCAAGTGTTAAATCCTACTTAGAAATTTTGCTAGTTACTATAAAATTTTTAAAGTTCCTTTCAATATTTGTCTTACTGCAATCAATGCAAGAGAACAATATGATGCTCTACCTCAGTATGTAAATATTGGGTCCAAAACTGTCCTTTTCCCTCAAACACAAAGATTTGTGCTACATAGCTTTGGACTGCTTTAAGAAAATAGCTTTGTTGCAACTTGTATGTATAAATATACAGTACAGTGTATACTTCTGTTAAGAACTCTTCATCAGTATCTTAGTCTGTTTTCCAGGGCTTCCATTCTCTTAGTTATTTCTTCCAGTATTAATAAGTTAAGGAAAAAGCTATCTGGAATACATAGTATTATACAACCCTAACCCTAACCAGAAAATCCTTAATTTGATTCTCAGCATACTGAAGGGAAGGTGAAATCATTTTTAAAATGACAGTAATTTGACAAACATGTCATGGCAGCCTCTAAAACTGTACACGCCTGTATTTGTAACAAGCTAAATATTATAGTCTGTTGTATCCCGCACAACGCTGCATAGTTTTCTACTCAGCATTCTGGCATGTAATGGCTACATTTTTCTTTCATTATCCTTTAAGTGCCCCCTCCACACCCCCAACTTATTGTGGAGGGAAGAGAGAATATAACTGCAGCAGATGCTGCTGGTTGTGGGGGTTTGTAGTCTGCTACTGACGTGCTGTCGCTCTCATTCTCCACTCCCCTCAGTCCTTGTATTTCACAGCTCAACCCTATTTCCTCCTTTTCAATGCAGGGCTAGGCAAAGGAACAAAGGGAGCTGTATGGAGCCCAATATGGAACGTTACAACTGGGTTTCTTTATCACCCCTAAAGTTTTGTTGCTTAACATTTAAAGTGCTGTCCACTAGCGTTACCAAAAGTACCCATAGACAGGAGTTTCAGGTCACTGCTTATATCTGCTTCGCACAGTGATAGGAGAAAAGGGGCTTCTATTGGCATTTTAAAGTGAAGTGAAACTTTGTTCCTTGCTAGTGCAACCTTTAAAAATGTTTCAGCTACTTACCCCTATGAAGCATTATTTATATATAAACATACTATTTACATTA